ATAAATCCATTCTATGGTTATATAATTATATGCAAAATATCTTGACAAATAACTTAAAATTATGCGTATTCTTTTAGAAATGAAAAGCCAAGAGAAGTACAAATCTTCACAGTATGTGTGATAACAACATAGAAAAAAAATGATTATGGTTGGACAAAAGAGATTGCCAGTTTGAACTCAAAAGGACAGAAAAACAATTACTATCAGATGATAAGAAGGTTATATCTGTTCGAAACTTTATGACAAGGGAAGCTGGCATTACTTTTAAGGTCTGTACATTTGACATAAGTTTCCGACATTTCTGTGTAAATTCATTAGTCATATTTTAGAAATAATGTATCAGAAAAAAGCTTGAGAAAAATAAAATGGCTCCTTGTTTTCAACATTTTGGTAATGAATGATAGTGACATTGATAGTGAGTTTTATATCTGAAGGCAAAATAATTAATTGATCCAAGTTTCAATCTTATTTGTGTGAGTAAAACATTTATATATTAATAATAATAATATATATATAAATATATATATATATATATATATATATATATATATATATATATATATATATATATATATATATATATATATATATATATATATATATATATATATATATATATATATATATCAAACATGCATTAGGGACCCCGATCGTCTTTATATATACTGCCTAGGTAGACCGATGGATTAGGGGGACATTTGGTGGTCCACTTAATAATTCATAGCACTATCTTAATTGAACCAGGCAAAGTGTCGTTACATACACATAAGTGTTAACAAAAGTACTACTGTATCTATTATAGTTGTGCTTGTTATTGGTTTCTATCGAAACATAATTATAAAAAAACGAAATTGAAAATAATACAGTGTATATACCCACATCCTTTTTCTTATGGCTTAGGGGGACAGGTTATTTTCTATTATTTATTACAAATTTTGTGTATATATAAGCGATTTGAACTTGGATTATCCTAATTTTAACATAAAAGAAACTTTATCGACCATTTCCGAAACTGAAAACACAATAATAAAAAACTCGAAAAAATATGCCTAGAAAAATTCAGAATTTTCCATTAGGCTACCAAATCAATACTGATGACGTCATCTGGAAGGTGCGCTTTTGTCTTGTGTGCCCTTGGAACAAATGGTGGACAACAATGTATTCGCTGTCGTACGGAAAGAGAATGGTTAGTTGTTTTCGTAATTTTATTGTAATGTATTTGTACTCAACACTTAAATCAATTTTCAGTAGATCAATTTAGATATATACTATCTAGCTCTGAACCACTAACAATGCTGGATTTTTGAAGACGGTATTCATAGGTCGGATTCGGACATTTTTATTTTCGGATGAGTCTATCATATTGAGAGAATCTAAGATTTGAAGCATCATTTTAAACAATTTAATAAACATGAATCGAGATAGAGAGAGAATATGCTTTTGGTAGAGAAATAACGTTTCTGTTTTCCATGTATTGACTTAATTACTGTTACAACAAAACATTGCTCCAAACAAGTCATCATTCTGTGGGTGGGGTAGTCTATTTCTGAAACAGCTATCCTATGAACGGGAAAATTAAAATCTAATTGGGGTGGATGTTCCACTGTGTTTTTGTAAATCATTTTACTATATAAATGACATAATATTGGAAATAAAAGGCAAAATTGTCAGAAATGGAAGAAAAAAATGGCAGAAACTAGTGTTGGGTATCGGACTCAAAAATTATAGTGTGTAATGACATAATATTATAAATAACATAATAATAATGACATGATACATATCTACTGTAGTTAAATTACTGATCTGCAATATTTTGACATGTTGACTAGTACTAATATTGACTGCCATGAAGTTGTACATTGTTTAATACAAAAATTGCCTGTCACAAGGTTGTATTAGGTACTTGTGTTGTTTGTTTTGAATTCGAAGAGTTAATCTTACTTTTATCTTGGAGACAAGAGTTTACTCTCAAAATATGGTCACTATGGTATAAAAAATACATACACGGATTGGTACCTTAAAAGAAAAAAGGACCATAAAAAATGCAATAGATTCTAATACTATATAAGGCAGACTGATGACAAGCAAAACAGGCACAAGTTACAATTTCCAAGCAGATTATCCCAAAGATTACCAAAATTCGGCCCTTTTATACTAAATCAAGAAAATTGACCAACAAAAATGGTCAATTTGCTCATTTACCAAAAAGAAACATTTTGTAGACGACAACGATATCGGCTGCTAACGGTTACCATGTAAACACTCCCATAATGCATATCTACAAAATAGCTGCTTCCTTGCAGGAAGCGTGTTAATTTAATACAAGTTATCGTAAATAGTGCAATATTCAGAAAGATTAAAGCGCTGACAGTTATTTAAATCAATTAATAAAAGTGTTTGGAGTAATTACATAAATAAATAATAATTCACAAAGACTTACATGTTAAAATCAGGACATTTGTGTGAGGAACAGTTACCGGATATGCCGGATAAAAACAGAACACGTTCAGGAGCATGAAACTGTATTATACGTGATACTGATAGGTTGTTTAAACTATGTTGATCTACATGTACATGTATGTGTACGATTTTATGTTTCGTTACTATCAACAATAAAGAAAATGGGAAACATTGGTTCGAGTACAGCTCACAGGTGCTCGTCCAGTCTTGGTGCCCATATAAAAAAAATTGAAGTTAAAAAAAACAACACAAAATAACTATTTTGGGTTGGGTGTTAGAAAAAAATTAAAAAAAAAAAAATTTTTTTTTTCTTATAATATGAAATTAGGCAAAGCCTATGAACGGGAAAGTCGTTAAAAATTCCTTTCATTCTTTTCGTTTTAAAGGTGTCGTTCGGTATTACATGCACCGCTTCAAACTCCTCACAGCGGTTACGTCATGCTTTGTTACTGTACAGATCAGGGGAAGTAACTGCTGCGAGGAGTTTGGCACCGCTTCCGTTTTCACTCGGAACATTTGACGATTATCATTTATCAGAAAAGTTGAGATTTGTTCCGTTATAGGAATACCCCGCCTATTATCATTGAGTTACATTGTAAATTTTTTTCTACCTTACTTAGTTTTTTTACAATCTTAAATAACTTACATTTAAACTCGGACATTCCAATTTGTTAAAATCTTGCAAAATTCCGCTGATGGTCGGCCATTTTGTCGAAAACGAAAGTACAAAACCTACATCGTACTGTTCGCTCTCCTGGTTTCCTACGACTACGTGCGCAGAACAGTAGACAACGGTAACCATCAATTTATTGGTTACTGTTGTCTATTGTTCAGCGAATGTAGTAGTATGGGACCAGAACAGCGAAACAGTACGGTTTATGTTTTGTACTTTCGTTTTCGACAAAATGGCTGACAATTACTGTTGTTTTGCAAAATTTTAACAATTTGGAGTGCCAGAGTTTAAATGTAAGTTATTTAAGATTGTATGTAAGATAGAAGAAGAATGTTAACAATTTTCTAAATGCACGATGTGTAAAGAGTAGCAAAATAGCTTGTATTGTTACAGAACTCGACATAGTGGTTGTTCCACAGCGTGTCCTAGTAAAGCTCCGTAGTGTTACAGCAACTAGGTGACCTTTTTGTAGTAATCGTATATAGGAAAAAAAAAATTTTCAATTTTTTTTTTCTTGCACTCAACCCAAAATAATTACTTTGATGTTGTTTTTTTGTTTTTTTTTCACTTCAGTTTTTTTGTATGGGCACCAAGACTGGACAAACACCTGTGATACAGCTCACATCATTATCATTGAACAAGTCAAGTTTACTGCTAATTAAAGTAAATTAAATATGGTATACTGGTTTCCTAGCAGTTTCTGGCCACAAATCGCACTTTTTAACAAATAAAATAAAAACAAAGACAAGACAAAGTTAGGTACCTGTCAATGGCATTGCAATGTGTTTAATGTTAACCTTTCATTTAACTTTTTAATTTGAATATAGGTTTGAAATGTAACACCTTTTTTCACCTTCATTCAAAAATTCATAGCAGTTTTCTGGACCTTTTTTATTTTGAATATAATTCAGTACCATAAGGCAATGTTAAGATGGTTTTATCAGACAAACAGAACTTCCCAACCTTTTCTGTGTCGTCTGCAAAAATATTTTTCGAAATATTGATTTACTAAAATGGGGTCTTAGTTATTGCGAAAAGATATTCAAACTAGAATTCCCCATGTGTTGCTTATTTTTGAAAGTTGCAAGTTCTGTTAGGTAACTTTAAAGGGATATTCATGCAAAATAATGACAAAAATATTAAAGTTATCTTATGTACTCAAATCACGCTAAAATGACATTTAATGAAGTTTTAGCATGAATTTCTGTTTAAATTCTAAATATTTTGGGTTTGAAGTGTAAATATATCTATATATGTTGAACAAAATTTAGACCCGAATAGAATCACCAAATAGTTTTAAAACAAGTCACGTGACTTGAACAAACCCTTGACGTAACAGCAACAGATATTATGGATATTGTATGATTGAAAGAAGTCTAAGTCATTCATTTGACATGTTTTTTAACGTTTCCAGAGTTTACTTTGACAACTATTGTGAAATCCTAACGCTCTAACCTGACCCACGTGGGTCAAGTTAGGAAACCACCATTTTATTAACCAGGTTTTCCGAAGGAAAAAACTGGTTATTAGATTGAGGTATGTCGGCGGGCGGGCGGGCGGGCGGATGGGCGGGACGGGCGGGCGGGCGGGCGTAAACAATTTCTTCTGTGCGCAACTCCTCCTACATTTCTCAACGGATTTTGACCAAACTTTCACAGAAGCTTTGTCATCAAGTGCCCTGGCGCATATTGTCGGGGTTTTGCGATTAGATAATATTTGACCTAATTATGGCCCTTTGTTTTTTTTTCCTTATATAAAATATATAGTGAACAATTTCTTCTGTGCGCAACTCCTCCTACATTTCTCAACGGATTTTGACCAAACTTTCTCAGAAGCTTTGTCATCAAGTGCCCTGACACATATTGCCAGGGTTTTGCAATTTGTATATATTTGACCTAATTATGGCCCTTTGTTTTTTTTCCTTATATAGAATATATAGTGAACAATTTCTTCTGTGCGCAACTCCTACATTTCTCAACGGATTTTGACCAAACTTTCACAGAAGCTTTGTCATTAAGTGCCCTGGCGCATATTGTCGGGGTTATGCTATTAGATAATATTTGACCTAATTATGGCCCTTTGTTTTTTTTCCTTATATAAAATATATAGTGAACAATTTCTTCTGTGCGCAACTCCTCCTACATTTCTCAACGGATTTTAACCAAACTTTCTCAGAAGCTTTGTCATCAAGTGCCCTGACACATATTGCCAGGGTTTTGCAATTGGTATATATTTGACCTAATTATGGCCCTTTGTTTTTTTTCCTTATATAGAATATATAGTGAACAATTTCTTCTGTGCGCAACTCCTCCTACATTTCTCAACGGATTTTGACCAAACTTTCTTAGAAGCTTTGTTATCAAGTGCCTGGCACATATTGTCGGGGTTTTGTGATTGGATAATATTTGACCGAATTATGGCCCTTTGTATATTTTTTCCTTATACAGAATATATAGAGAACAATTTCTTCTGTGCTCAACTCCTCCTACATTTCTCAACGGATTTTGACCAAACTTTCTTAGAAGCTTTGTTTTCAAGTGCCTGGCACATATTGTCGGGGTTTTGTGATTGGATAATATTTGACCGAATTATGGCCCTTTGTATATTTTTTCCTTATACAGAATATATAGTGAACAATTTCTACAGTGCGCAACTTCTCCTACATTTCTCAATGGATTTTGACCAAACTTTCACAGAAGCTTTGTCATCAAGTGCCCTGGCGCTCACTAAATTCCCATGTTTCTTCCAAGACATTATTCAAGTATTTTTTTAAAATTGTGAACATACTTTTCTTGATATCGCACAAAACACCACACGCCAATATTGTTGACAAAAGAAAATGACAAGAGACGCAAAAATGCAAAAATTAAGCAAAAATAAAGTACTGTTTACCTTTCTAAAACATTTGGGAAAAAAAGGCGAATAGACAACATAAAATTTCTCAATCATTTTTGTTTGAGGAATATTAAAAAAGCCATAATTCCTCCTAAAAGTTCAATTAAAAACAAATGCCCCTTCATGACAAAGCTTCTGTGAAATATTTTGCTGAAAACCTGGTTGCATCGCATTGCGATGTTCCTTGTTCTTTATATGGAGAAAAGTTTTGTTCCTTTGACTGTCTAAAATATTCATTTTGAGGGCATTTACAGAATAATGAATGAAAAATTCAAAACTAAGAAGTGAAAATGTTGCCTGTGTCTCCCTTTAACATAGAAAAGCATAGAAAACAAATGTCTCTCTGATTGATGAAGTAATGTGGATGCCTTACTGGTAAAAATACACTGTACTGGATGAAAATGATAAACGGCCGGAAAACTGCTAGGGACGGAAACTGCTAGGAAACCAGTATTCTGTTACCCTGACCGTAAGGCATTACAGTATTTTATAGAAAAATATCAGTGAAATAAACACTGTAATTCACTGCTTGAAACAGTGACTGATAAAAACGATATCAGTCACTATTTGCCAAATTTAAGAACTACACTTTCTGGCCGTTGGGACTATTTAAATTTGTTTTAAGCTTATAATAAAGGGAAAATTTGTTGATTTTGGGAAGAATATTGATTTTTGGTTCACAAGTGATTATTGAAATTTATATTTTCACGAATGGCTAGAAACTGGGACATAATTGAATAACTCAATTAAGCCCACACTTTGGGTACTAATACTGACACAAAAGTTTAATAATAAAGATTTGTAATAAATGCAAACACTAGGGAAGTTATAATAAGTATCAGTATGTAAAGTATTTTAGAAGCGCAAAAACATTCTAAAAAGATTTTATGTCTAGTGTATATTTCAATGTTTTAAAATTTTACTTTTTCATGTTTTTTTTCCTAAAAGAGAAAAAAATTGTAATTTATATTTGACATGATATGCTGATGAAATGGCAAGATGAAGATAACATAGGCTTCCATGTTGAAACTCAAAATAATAATTAGTATAGTAGGAAGTCTAGTACTA